CAGACCCAGCCCACCACAGCACAGCAAATTAACTGGGCACGAGCATCTCAGAAGCACATCTGGCAGAGAGGAGATTGAGCAGATAAACATTTTGCCATCTGAAGCCAGTTTACCATTTGATGCTATGACATTTCTAACTGACTGCAGCAGGTTGTGCACCCAAGCTCACATGCAGGCACCTGCACAGGGCAGCTCTGTCAGCTGCCCCAGGGAGCAGTGACCTCCTGAAAGGGCTGGCAGCCAGCAGTCGGTTTGGGAAGGATCCTGGGCAGGGAATCCTGTGAACAGAGGGTCTCATTCTGTGAACAGAGGATCTCATCCTGTGAACAGAGGATCTCATCCTGTGTTGCCCAACAATGCTGTATCACTTTCACTGGACCAGAAAGGTTTACAGTTAGCAAGAAGATTGTCTTTCAGGTTGGGTGATTGTCCTTCCTGCAAAAGCTTTGTTTTATTGGCTCTAAAACTTTCCTTTCATAGGCAGAGCCTGCAGGTACCACTTTCTATCACTCAACACTCATTTGAGTCCTGTCCCTAAAGTGAGCTGTTTAAAAATAAAGGATGAAGTCTCAGTAGGCCACACTCACATCTGATTTTACACTAATGTTTGTTTGCTCAGTGCTTCTGAGAGCTTTTCAGATGAAAGACAATGCCTGGTGCTATTTACTATTTTGACTGCCACCACCAGCAGGAATTCAGCACACGCTGCGTGGGAGAGCAACAAGAAGAGCTCGTGTGAAACGAGCCTGCAGATGAGTTCTTCATTAACAGAGGAAACATTCAACTCTAGGAAGAGTTTATTAATGTTTTCCTCACCTTGGTGCCAAGCAGGATTATCTGTACAATTGGCAGCTGTTATTTCCTGCCCTGTCCCAGCTGGCTGTTCATTGCTCTGGGGTCACTGCTCTGGAAGTGCCCAGCACAGGATTCCAGGTATGCAGCACACATCCTGCCAAGGGCAGGCACAGCTGCCCCAGCCCGTCAGGCACAGGTGCTCCACACAAGCCTTTTTCACTTTTAAAGCCGCTCAGATGTCATTTCCAAAGCCCAGAAACAATCAATGCTTTTGCTGTGTTTCCATATCCCTCACACTGGGGCTCCAAGGCACAGGGTGCCCATGCTCAGCCCACAGCCCTGGGCTGGCACCCAAACCCTGCCGAGGTGAGGGTTTCCCTGCTGCCTCCCCTCTGGTGGCTCTCGGGTGTGACACAGCCACCCCCAGCGTGTCCCTTGCTCTCGCAGTGCCGTTCCCCTGCGGGAGGATCACTGCTCCCGAGGCCAAGAGGAAGCTGACGCGCTCCATGAACACCTTTGAGCACTGGAACAGCACGAGCGAGGAGCCCGAGGAGGGCCCCGAGGAGGGGCAGGGCCCCGAGGAGGGCCAGGACAACGCCACCGAGAGCAGCAGCACCGCAGCCCCCATGAGGATCACACCCGTGCTCAGGACGGGCACGCGCGTCGTCGGCGGCTCGGACAGCATGAAGGGAGAGGTGCCCTGGCAGGTACGGCCTTTGCAGACCTGGGAGCCCAGCAGCCCTTGTGAGCGCAGAGCATCCTCCCTTTGGACACCCAGAGTCTGTCTCTGGGGTTAGGCTGGCAATAGCCTCAGGGCCAACAGGAGCACAGCTCCTTCCCACACACACTTCTATGTGTATAGAAACAGCAACAAAACCTGCCTGCGTGGGGCTCTCCTCTGGCAAAGAAAGCCACAGGTCAGAGTCACAGCAACTTTACCCAGTGGGGCACAAAGGGCTGAGCTACAGCAGCAGAATGCCTGGTAGTCCATGAATGTGCCAAAAGTAAGCTGGGAGGGAAGGGAGTTTTGCAAGGAACAATGCAACTCATTTTTGGCTCCATCAGATCATAGAATCACAAAACAGTTTGGGTTGGAAGGAACCTTAAAGATCACCCAGTTCCAGCCCCCAGCTGTGACCAGGGCCGCCTTCCACTGCTGCAGGCTTACCCAAACCCCAGAGTGAGATTTGCCCTGCTCCCACAGGTTCTGCTGGTGAACAGCCAAGGTGAGGGCTTCTGCGGTGCCACCATCATCAACGAGAAGTGGCTGGTGACAGCAGCACACTGCCTGAAGTCAGGCTTCACCCACAACCTCACTGCTGTGGCAGGTGAGCACCTGGGCACGAGGGGAGGGATGGGCACAGGGCAGGGCACAGGGCACTGAGCACAGTGAGGGGCAGCAGCAGGACTCGAGCTGCTGTGGGGCCTGACTTGGGCTGCTGTGGGGTCTGACATGGGCTGCTGGGGGCACAGAGGCCCCAGCTGAACCTACAGCCCTTCACCAGCCTGGTCCTGCAGGTGCCAGCACCTCTGGCAGGAGCACTGAGCCGGGTCTGCCTTGGTGCCACAGCCACAGTGTGAGCACAGATCAGCCTGGCCATGGGCGAGCTCGCCTGAGCCAGGGGCTCATCCAGCCAGCTTTAAAGCCCGCTGGAAGAAGCCTTCCCCTCCCCTATATTTCTTTGTTTCTCCACGTTCATCCCTGAATCACTTATTCGTGTCCCCAGCAATAGCAAGCATCTCTAACGTAAGAAAAGCCAGCCGAAAGTCTCCCGCACGT